GGAAGGCCTCGGAACAACGCTATTTGCTGCCATCGGGAGAAGCATATGTGGCTATAGTGACCTTTCTCTGACTGGCACACAAGCACGCGTCCGGTCTCCCGAAGTTTTGCCAGGACCGAAGGCATATCATCTGCCTAATTAAAACCCAACTATGCGGTACCTACTCAACATAGGCGGTCAACACTTCCGGCGGTAGTTGTATATATCCTGAGTAATAAGAATCTTACCGAATTCATCCGCCACAAACTGCTACACCTCACGTGAGGGCCTTCCATATTTCAGAAGGGCCTTGCGGTTGCCCAACTCGTCTTCGGTTAGCCGTCGATTAACTGGAAGCCGGTCGTACAGAAACTTTGATAACTTGCGGTTGTGTTCAAGAAAATAAGAGGTGACTGCCATTTGGTTCCTTTGCCTCCGTAGACAAAGCCGCAAAAAAGTGACGGCAGATGAGGGTGATTTTTGGACTGAGCACATATGCGAAGAAGTACAACATTTTGGGGTTAAAGTTTTTATTTCACCCACAAGAGTTTTGCATAAAAACGGATTGTGTGTCGAAGGCGCGCCCCATGTGTCGCGATATCTCGAATATCGTAGCGACTGAGACATGAGGCGGCCTGATGCAGCACACCCAATTACCTGGAAACATCACAAATGAGAGATTCAGCTGGGCTTCAGGTGAGTCTCCCGAAGAACCAAATTTGTTTGCAAATGTGTGGTTTGTCAAAAACGAATACCGTTTGTTCGTGGCGAATTGGCGCGTGCTGAAGCACATGACCGAGCTTATCCACATAGGAACGCTGGAGTGAAACAATGATTGGTTCTGGGGTTCTGTCGTTGAAGTGTATCGATCCCAGTATGTGGCTCGCCGAATAGGGACCAGTTTAAAGAATACGCGCAGACCCCAATCTGATATTCCTCGAAGTAGCTGGATTCGAGGATTCAAACGGCATATTCGGAATACGGGACACAGCGAACAAGTTATTATGGGCCATTACGTGCACGAGCTCTGTCCACATTCAAACCGACTTTCCGTTTTCACACCCGCAGACTTCATTCCGTCCAGGTGCAAAGATTAGTTTGTGAGACTAGTCGCACTGGGCAGTTGACCTGACAGTTAGTCTTGTTAGATGGTCTGAAGTTCGACCAGAGAATATTCACATGTTCATCGTCAAATGTGTGATTCTTTGCCACGGTATGTAGCGCATCGGCCGAGTTTTTCTAGGGTTTTTTCATCTACGTTGGTTTACGTGGTGGGAATCGTGTATGCTGCTTATGTCCGGCTATCCCCACCTCGGACTATCTGGATGTTTGTCCGATACACTGGGCGGGGCATTCTGCGCACCCAGTTTGCTGGGTGTGACTGTTTGGTCTGATAGGCCTTTTGTGGAACAAGTGCTGTCGCGTTGTGGTAGCGTCAACTGAGGTTTGTATACGTGTGCTTTTTTTGGCTTCAGTCAGCTTTGGTGATTATCTTCTACTAAAGTAGCTTCAGAGAACAAGCACTTTAAATTCCAGTTTGATAATTTCGATATAGGAATATAGTGACTAAACTAGATGTTTCGGTGATATGTTGTTAGTTTAAAATGGCTAATTTTACTGTTCTTTCCAAGTGCTTTAGCCATTCGGCGGTCGATTCAGCCAAGCATTTAGGGAGATAGGATCAAGGTAAGTGCTGCGGAAGGCGGTTCTTCTTGAAAGTTGCAAATTACTGGGCGGCAAACTGATATCTTTCAAGAGGTCGGAACGGTGAGCCAAACCGAAGTATCCAACAACGACCTTGTCAGGAAGGTCAGATTTCTGAAAATAATCCCAGAGTGCCCAAAGCCTACATAGACGCCCAAGCTTACCAAAATCGCAGTAGGGAAGCCGTCAAGCATCCAGACCAGAAAAGACAGTTCCCGATTGGACCCTCAAGTAGTCAATCGATTCAATAACGATCGACCAGTGTTCAAGTACGCTGCAGAAGTAAGGCCGATGATAATGAGTGTTCAGGCATCTCATAGAAGCAGCGGCCGTAGATGATGCGTGTTCACTCAACGCCAATCAGACAGCTTGAATCGGCGTCAAAAGTGCGCTTTAAATACCGCGAGGTCACTTGTAAACTTTGTAATTGCTTATTCGCAATACATTTGTTGTTCCCTGTTGATGTGGCTTTTGCCGAAACTGAGGTGCTGGAGCGAAAACAACAGTCAGTTGCAACAGATTTACAAGGGTTTTGGAGTAAATTTACAAATTTGTAATTTGTAACTTATAAATTACAAAATTTACAAACGAAAGGCTTAAGATCTTCCACATTCAGAAGAATGGTACAAACAGCTACGTCGAATCACAGGATATGAATCCGGATCCCACTCGGACAGTTGGGAGGCCGGAAGATTTTTTGATGGCTGATTCTTAGGCAGGAATCCACGCGGATCCCACTATACCGCACATCTTTAGGCGCTGCTACGGCCGAGAAGCCTGGCCCGCTCGAGGTTGGCCCAGAATTCGGGACGCTTGCCGGTCCGGCATCAAGACGAGATCTGATTGGTCAACAATCTGGACCCAACAGCCAATCATGACCCAGTATTGGCCAAATACCGGTTGCCAATGGCGCATCCAGAACGCGTCAGAACTTACAGGAAGTTATAACCGCTTACGCTATATATACGAAGCGCTGTACAACTGTTCTTGACTTCGTTTTGGGCGTTAATAGACCTTGTACACTCTTGGTGGTTGTTTTGACGTGAATGCTAGCTTGGGAGGCTCAGACCGAGAACTAAGCTGAGGAAAATACCGTTACTACACTGATGTAATCTGCGTATTGAATTGGCAAAGGATATCTCCTATTTGCACTCGTGGGGAATGACCCCATCTTTATCTATTTACCCGAAATAGGTAGAATAAACCAAGAAGAGCATCCCAAGTTGAGATAAATTTTCTCCAGAGGATACCACCAAATAAGTGGTAGCCGTGAGCACAACTTGGGAGAGCTTGTTATTAGTGTGAACTTTAAGCATGAACATAAGGCGCTCGAATCCTGTCCTAAGCAGGACGCAACACGTGGTGTACTGCTTTCCAGAATGAGTTTCTTTCAAATTGTAATTACAAGTCATATACCATGAGACTACAGACTGGTATGCAGCAGAATCCAATTTAGGAGAATGGAAAGTTAGGAACCGTTTTGAACATGTTCACTAGTGCTCAGAATGAGGGATGACTATTGCCCGTATTAAGTAATGAGTGAATTATTCTGGTGAGTCTACATCAAACGTCGGGAGCAGTGGACATGAGTTTCTCTCTTATTAGATCTCATCAGCAGTGCATATCCTATGGTCAGGCCGGCCGTCTGACATGCCAGGCGATCGTTTTAAGAATACTCCACCAGCGACGCATCTGAGTTTTCGCGTCTGAACAGGCGAACACGTTCGCACTGGGACGATATGATTGGTACGCTCGACTCATCGGACGACGACCCAGTAGTTGTCCTGGTTGTAAGGACCGTTCAAACGAGAGTGACGTGTGAACCCTGCATATCCCGCAACCAGTCGCAACAAAATGAGGGAAGCATAGTGTCACTTGTTGTTTTAGACCTGAACAGGTCTTCTGAGAAGTCACCACTTGAGTAGACACTGGACACTAGGATGAGTGGACTGAGGCAACTGAGTGCGAAGTGACTAACTGCTGGTCGGTCACAAAGCTGAGAAATACACCCGAAGTTATCCTGGGTCTTATACCCTCAGAAATCGTAAAATGAGTTAAACATAGCCACTGAAATGTTGCGAGGATGAAGTAACCGAAGATTGGAGTGCACTTAACAGCATGATGTGACCCATTGATATACAACCACGGAGGTTGATAAAAAAGCAGTTGGCACTCCGAAGGGGACATTTTAGCTCGCAAATAAGGGTTTGCTTACCGTAAATGCAATAGAGATTCAAGGTCAAATTAATGTGGCGATTCCACTATCACGACCCTTCTTGTGATCACCGGGTGGTTTGTGACCGTTTTCCGCAGTTTTGGTGAAGTCGTAGTCCCGCTAATTTACTGATTCATTAGTTCACCATTCGATAGAATTTGCCATTGCTCTTGTCAGTGGCATACGTGAAACTATTGATTCGAAGTTGTTAATCTCAGTGTGCAAGGCGTTTTCATAATGTTATTGAAGTGAAAACGTCAGTGCGAGGTTGTGTGGGTAAATTCCTCCTCTTTCGCATGTACTCCTATAGTTTCCGAACAGCATCTAATAAACCTAGTGTTTCGTTCGTCCCCGAGGTGGTGCTCCGTAGTTTGGTTGGTCACCTGAGAATCTGGATTGCGTCGTAGTCTCATTCCCTCGTACTTGGTTGGTTCACTGAGCGCTAAATCTGTTCCTCCGTTTTGATTGGGTCGTTTTCTCCTTGCTTTGGGGTCTGATTATGTTATACTTTATTGGTTGATTTAATGGCTTGCTTTTAGCCATCATCCTCAGCAGTAGAACAGTAACATCTATTTTTAGTAGTTTTCTTTGATTCCATTGGCCCCTTTGGTTGCCGTCAAATTGCTTGATTTCCTATGCGGTTCAGAGTCTCGTGACTATGTATTTATTTTTTCGCAGCGGCTGACGGGCTGGGTCAACGCCATGTGTTTTTTATCGACGGTTGTGTGCGGTACCACGCTTCGGCAAACTTTCACCCGTTTTGTTCTTGCGTGAACAAGTATTTGAATGTTATCCCATTTGAACTAATGCCATTCTCCGTTTTTGTGGATTTAAACGAGTGACGCTGGGTCATGTCTTCTGCTGACAAGCTTGTGTTCGTGTATTCCAGTGGTAATTTTCCTCCCAGTCTGTCCAACATTCTGTTTGTCGTAGTCGTTACATTAGACTTTGTAGGTCACGATCGTCTTCTCCATTCCATCCAACCTTCCATTTGGTTTCGAGAGTTATTCTCAATGTGTCCACAGGTTTGAAAGCGAATGTTATTCCACTTTGCCGTAAATGTCTCGCGACGTTTTCGATATACGGCAGTGTAATGTTTCTCGGTTCTGATCACGCTGGCAAAGTGGTTTGGGGTTGATTTTGTAAGATGCGAACGTACTAACAGGAAGGTGCGTGGTTCAAACCCAAATGCTCCTATCTAGGCTTGGGCAACCTAGCGGTCCCTCACTCCTCAAGCTTCCTTCGGGAAGCGTGGCAGCTATGCACCGAAAGGGTGTTAGAGCTGAACGGCTTGTTTATACAGACGGATAGGTGCAACTTGG